ACCTTGGTATGATCACTGCTGAGCTTTTATATGGAAGGAATTACCTAGGACCTAGGTCAGTTTGAAGCAAAGCTCTTTTTAACTGAAATTTTGGCAAGGGTAAAGCTAGGCAAAGCTTTACAAGCATTGTTTCTGTCATAGGCATTAGCTTCCAGTAATGCAGAAAGTCAAATCCCTTTAGGAAGTGGCTGAAATTTGCTAATTATTCCCAGCTTCCTGTAGATCTTGCAACTGGAAAAATGCACTTTTTGAACTACAGAGGATGTTTGGGATCCTTAATGCAGTCCTTAATATTTGAACACTAAATAACTCCAAAATGAAGTGTTATAAAAGCAAGCTAAAAATGAAGAGGAAAAAAAATTGTGCCTTAGAAAATCCATTCTAGGTAGGGAGGCATTTTGTATACTGTTAAATAAGCTTCTCCCAATGAAGCTGTTGTTGATTCTGTTACAAAATGGTGAAAATAAAATCCTCCAAAGAATGAATGATTCTTCTGTTTAATTAAGAAAAGTTATTGAGACCCAAAACACAAATGGAGAAGAAAAGCCAGTTAGTCCCTTTCCATTAATATTTTCTAAAGATTTATAATGTGTGAGAAGCAAAACTCACACATTATATGTGAGATATGTGAGATATGTAAAAGAAGAAAGCAAATCCAGATAGAGGTAACCCTCAATTTACAACCACAGTTGGGACCAGAATTTCTGTTGCTAAGCAAGGTGGCTGTTAAGTGAGTTACAACTGATTTTACTGTTTTTTTTTTGACACAGTTGTTAGGTGAATCATGCGGTCATTAAGCTAAGCTACCTTTCCCCATTAATTTAGCTTGTCAGAAACTGGCTGGGTTTCATATGACAATGACATGACCCCAGGCTGCTGCAACCATCATAATCGTAAATGCTAGTTGCCAATTTTGATTATTCTGGGGATGCTGCAATGCTTGTACATTACTTTTTTTCTGTGTCTTCATAACTGTGAACAGTGACTAAATGAATGGCTGTAGGTCGAGGACTACATGTACTGAGAAACGCAATGTGGTAACAGAAGAGGGCATAAAGTCCTTTTGAAATGGCAGCAACAGGCTCCTCAGTTGCTAGCACCACTTCAAAGATTCCAGAATCACATCTTTGCTAAACAAGAATTCTGTAGGACTGTAAATCTACCTGTTTTTTTGTTTTTTTTTTGAAAATAGAAGTGGATTTGGTGCTGAATGCTGCAAAGTCCTCTAGTGGCCAAATAGTGTTGGTGCCACTGGGAGCCCAATTCCTAACAGGACGTAAGAAATTGATTTGTAACTTCCTCCCCAAAGAAAGGAGTGTGCAAAAATAAAATACTGTACAGTCACTGAAGAATGATGAAATCTGTTTGCAAATCCTCATTTAACTTTGATTGCTTTAACAATGTACCTTTTGATCCTGAAGGAACTTTAAAAGTAGAACCTGCAGCAGGAGGATTGGTCCATCTAAATGTTATGTTCTTAAACTAGGTTTGAAATTAATCATCTATGGAGATTCACAGTCATCCAGGTCATGGTTGTCCCAAAGGTGCTTTTTTCAAGAGGCAAATGGACTTTCTTGTTTTTCTTTGAAGAAGTTTCGCTTCTCACCCAAGAAGCTTCTTCAGCTCTTGAAATTAATCTTTATTTCTAGAAAGGGAGGGAAGAATCTGATTCTGTATTATCAAAGCCAAAAAAATATTATGTACTTTTTAATAAAGGATATTGCAATTTAGATCTCCTTCAAAAATAAGACAGAGTGACTTTGGGTTTTGAGGCCCTCTGGACCCTGGGACGTTCCATTTTGGTTCTGAATTGTTGCACTGCCTCAGAACCAGTGTGTAACCTGGGGATCCTCTGGACACACAGCTCCTGAGGGGAGCAAGAGGTAGCTATGCTTAAGAGATCTTTGCACAGCTTTGGGTTATGTTGGACCAGGAAGTCTGCTCGGTCAGTCATGTCCTAATGACCTGCCAATTGGAGAATTATAATACATTAACCAATTTCGTTGTATACATGATGTACAATGACAATAAAGGCTATTATTATTACTATTATACATTCTGTGTAGGGCTTCATCTAGTGCAGAATGTGCACCAAAATCAAAAGTGCTTTGGTTACCCATGGTGCCATTCTTCCTAATAGAGGCAACAGCATATGAGAATAACATGTCCTTGACTTGGAATTAAAATTGATCATTCAGTGACTATTCTAATTTAGGATGAGCTGAACAATGGGACTTATGGCCCCTGCCCCAAATTCCAAATGGTGCACTGTCCCCGGTCACATGATTGAAATGAGAGCATTTGGCAGCATGCATGCTCCTGCAACTTTGGGAGTTCTGCAACTCCTCCCCATTGTAGGCTGGAAGGCATCAGTCATCTAAGACAGTAGCCCCCAACATTTGGGGTACCAGGGACCGGTTCCGTGGAAAGAGGTTTTTCCGCGGACCGGAGGGAGCATGTTTTTGTGAGCTGCCTGCATCCTGCAGATGAGGCTTTGCTTGTTTGCACAGCCCTGTTTCTGGCATGCCGTGGACCGGTGCCGGTCCATAGACCCGGGGGTTGGGGAACCCTGATCTAGGGCCATTGATGTGCAAGTCTCTTTCTTCCCCCTGCTAGTCCCAAGAGGCCTGGGCCTTCTCCCTGCCCCACCTCACCCTGTCCCATCATTTTGCTGGCCAACTTCCTATTCCTGGTCAGCCTTGAGAAGGATTTGCCTCTGAGGAAGATTGCCTTTGCTAGCTTTCTATCAACTGGGCACATCTGTCAGCAGCAACAGGGACCCAGGCATGATGGGGCAAGGAGAAAACCCACATGTCTAGGGAGTTGGTGGGGAGGAGTAGGAGGCCCACGTGAGGCCTCTCAAACCATGACAGGTTTCTGAGTGCCGGGCCTTCCAAGGCCTCCCCCGCACTGAGGCACTCCTGTGCAGTTGCTTAACAACGCAATGGGGAGAACTGGGGTTGTAGTTAAGTGAGGCTGTCACATGAATGTCTCGCTTAATGGTCACAATGATTTATGACTAAAATTCCAGGCTTAATTGTCTTAAATTGAGAACAACTGTGCTATGATTATGCTTAGGAATAAAAGAGATACTGCTTTAAAAAAAATTGGCTGCATCTGAAGAGTTATACAGTTGTTAACTGGTACAGAGGCATACCATGAACATATAACTAGACCTCTAGCTTTAATCTGGCAGCAAAAAATGTGGATGAATGAGGGAGCTTGTCAGTTATAGTGAAAACAAAGGAATCTCCTGCCATGAGAATGCAGTTCTGCTAATTTGATTCAGTTCAGCCTAATACACATGTAATTTTTGTACTCCAAAAAGTGAATCCTATTATTAGGCTATACTTTTTTTCTGCGTGGAACAACTCCTTGATCTTCCTGTCCAAATGTCATGTTTCTCCTTCCTCTCCCATTAAAAACTACACAGGTCTTGGGATTGAGAATTACTGTCTTAAAAAATGCTAGAAGTTTTTTTTTTTTTTTTTGCTTTGTGTTGAATAAACATTTTGCATTTCTCTCAGTATCAAACTTCCTTGCTAATTGCTCCATTCCGTAGGGGTGGATAGGCATGATTTAAAAAAAACCAAGGGATGAATTACTTCAATATTTGGTTTACTTCTTTCTTCGCCCTAAATTATATGGTTTCATTCCTGCAAGTGAGCAATGTTAGTGAAAAACAAACATTCAAGTATAATTTTGAGTAATCTATTTATTTGAAACATGAAAGAAACTTGATATATTTTAATTTTTGGACCACTCATACAAAACAGCATTGCTGCTTGTATTAAAACAGTGTTGTTGAATCCTTATTTAGTACATTTATGTAGTATTTTTTCATAAGTATTTCCAGCCAGTTCATTTTTTAAAATATGACATTATAAATGAAATATTTATTGTTCAGGAAGAAAAAAATAATATAAAACGTTTGGAAAATGAAATCTCTCTGCCTAATGCTGAAAATATATTGGATAGTTCCTGCCTTTAGAATGCTTAGCAAGACCATAATTGTACAGGTAGTCCTTGACATACAACAGTTGATTCAATGACCATTCGAAGTTACAGTGGCACTGAAAAAAGTGATTTACGACCATTTTTCACACAACCGTTGCAGCATCCCCATGGTCACGTGATCAAAATCTGGATGCTTGGCAGCTGGTTCATATTTATGATGCTTGCAATGCCCCAGGGTCATATGATCACCTCCTGTGACCTTCTGACAAGCAAAGACAATGGGGAAGCTAGATTCATTTAACAACTATTATTAACTTAACAACTGCCGTGATTCACTTAATAAGTGTTTGCCCACTATAAAAGGGGGCAAAATTCACTTAACAAATGTCTCACTTAGCAACAAAAACATTGGACTCAATTGTGACTGTAAGGTTAGTCATTTAATGTATACTCTCAACATATGGCTTAAAAATAGGTCACATTCTATCAGCGTAAGTGCTGGATAAGCTTCTTGGAGAGAACATTAAACAGGACACCCAGGATGTCCTGTCACTCGGCCACAATTTGGGGGAGGATACATGGAAGAAAAATAAGTTTCTTCCATTATTCTTTGGATTAGAAAAACTTGAGAAATTATCAGTTAATAAATTTTCCTTCGCAGGAGTTATCTGAGTTCCAAAGCAATAACATAGTGTAAATGAGAGGCAAGAGACAGCCTATAATATCGGTCAACAAGTACTAACAAGTTGGACCACTCGGTAACCAGGTCAGTCAGTATAAGTTCTTAAAAAATACTAACTTGCACTGATGACGTTACCTAGTTTAGTAATGAAACTCCTGCAAGAAAACCACCAAGCTCAGAGAGCGCCACAGTTCAACCCTGAGCTACAAATACTTTCTTCTATGAATACTAATTCCTATTTTGAGAATTGATAGTGTAGCTCAAAGCATATAGCCAAAAAAAGACGATATGTATATAAAAATGATGTGAAACAGGTATCGAGTTCGAGTTCAAGTACTAATGCTTAAGTCTTTCTTCAAAGTGCGCTCATTTGGAACAGAAGATCGTCCCACAGACCGCCCTGCTCCTCCGAGGGAAGAAGTTTATGAATATATCATCTTCCGAGGGAGTGACATTAAAGATATCACTGTATGTGAGCCTCCGAAAGCACAGCATAATCTGCCTCAAGATCCTGCTATTGTCCAGGTAAGTAATTCCATCTGGAACGGATAAGCATTTCACCTTGTATCTCTTTGGGAATGTCGAACAGTATAAACCACCCTTAGTAGGCATATATAAATCAACTGGTCCTATTGATAAATTTTAATTCAGTGAGAACAGCTCTATTATTGCTTGATATGTTTTCTAAGTTAAATTGGTGTCATAGCTTTCTGATAAATACAGTACGCAAGGGGAAGAACAATAGAAGTGTAAGTGAAGTAGGAAATGAAAACACAAACGCAAACAGCTTAACCACAATAGTATATTAGTAATCTTATTAAGACCTGTTTATTCGGTCTAGCACAATGATAACAGAAATGGAAGCAAAAAACTTCTTGTTATTCCAAAACACTAGAGTGTGATTGGGAAGAGACTTATATACTACTCCATAGTGCTTTACAGCGGTTTACAGAGTCAGCATATTGCCTCCAACAATCTGGGTTCTCATTTTATCGATCTCAGAAGAATGGAGGGCTGATTATCTCATCCATTTCCACCAAGGATGTCCCCAGTTGTGATGGTATAAATGGGGCCCTCTCCCAATGAATTTACAACTCGGACAGATCCTAATGGGGAAATATTTTAGGTAGCTTGACTAGAACAGGATAGTGAGTTATTTGTAACATGGAAATCGGGTGTTCCCTATCATTGGCTAATTAACGTCAGTCTTTGGCCAGTGTTTCTGTCTGAACTCATTTGAAAAATAGCCCTTGGTAAAGATTTTACTGATTAAACTAGGGCATATTTAAACAGCCATTTCTGCAAATTGGTTTGGTTAGACCCTAGTCTTATTTAAACAAAAACAGGACTAGCCATTTAAAAAAATCGGAACATTCAGATTTGAGTACAGATGTATGTTGGATTTCCCTTGTTTTAGGAGCATATAAATGAAAACAGGAAACCACCTGAGTTTTAAGGTTTTTCAAATGTTTTGACTACTATTTGAGTAAGTTGCCATTGTTTCCAGTACGTTAATAATTTCAGATACTACTTAGTTTACACTCCATGATAAATCAACTATAGTTAATAAACTGCAATGGCTGTTTAAATCTAAAATATAATGACACTTTATGTACAGTGCTTACTGAGGTCAGCTTAAAATTTAGCAAACTGCATTTCCATAAGAATGTTATACTTAGTGTTCCTCTTGGATTTTTTTTTTTTTGGTGCTTTATTCTGTTGTGATACCTAATCCATTTGATTAATTTATGGTTTAGTATATTGAAATAAACCAGAAAATGGGTAAAGTTGGTGCCAACATTAAAAATGCTTTATGTCAATGTGAAGTGTTTCACTTTTAGTTTAACTGCTGTTAGCCATGTTTTAGGATGTACTCATTTGCAAACATTGATTTAGGATGTACTCATTTGCAAACATTGATACTAAAATGGGAGTTAAGGTAAAATCCATCTGATCATGTTCTAAGCAATTAAGGCAGTACTGATCCCAGACATATTTGGTTGAAATGTATTTGTATTCAATCAAGTTTGTTATTCCAAATCTTAAGACCACCTCTCTCCCTCCAACAATGGGAAAATTATTATATTAATATTTAACAGCATTTGGGCTTTTTCTGATTTGCTGCCTGGCTAGTGTGATGGAACCACATAGTTTTATAAAGAAGTTTGACTGCTATCTCTGGATGCTTAGCCAAAGCACTCCTGTTCAAAAATTAGGTCTTAGAATCCAAAAATGAAACACATTGAGGATTGGTGATTTAACAGATAAATAGTAATGGACACATTAGAAACTAAAATCTTGTAAATCTATCAATGGACAAAAAGTGTCCCTCCAAAAAGTAACATTATTAGCATTACGTAGTGCTAGGTTTTGAAGGAGACGGTGAGGCAGGAAGATCTATTCTCATGACTATGATTTGTGAAGACTATAGAAGATGGCTTTTACTAAGACATTCAGGGTGCCTTCAAATCAGTCTTGACTTCTGGTAGCTGCCTGGACTGTAGTTTCCTTGATTTTGGGAAGTAGTTTGCTCTTGCCACCTTCCTAGGGTTGAGAGTGAAGAACTGGCCTAGAACCTTCCAGATGATTACCTATCTAAGGCAGAACTAGAATTCAGTCTCCCAGTTTCTAACCACTACCCCAACTGTGGATCTCTTTATTAAGATAATAATCCATAATTTGGGTTAGAGTCATTTGGTTTTCATCTTCATCTTCATGTGGAAAATTGGTCGTGTTCAGAGTGGATTTGATTTAAATCAAGTCTATTTAAATCATGATTTAAATCACTAGTAAAAAGGCTTGATTTAAATCAACTCGATTTAAATCATAATTTTTAAAGAGCAACTGTCATTTCTGTCCCGCAGCAGGTCCTCCTCTGACGCGCTATTGATTTACCGACAGTCACAATATTGCAGAATATATAGCCTCATGCTACATAACTAAGCTCCATTTCATACTGAATAAATTAAATTATTAATGTATCTTAAACAGAAAACTAGATTTTTACTCCAAAAGCATTTTATTAAAATAAATTTGATAAAAATAAAAAAAATCTGATTTAAATTTTAAAAAATCTGATTCAAATTTTAAAAATCCGATTTTGATTTTTTTTAAAAAAAAAATCATCGATTTTTATCCATCCTGGTCGTGTTATACAGCTGAATGAATCTTTCCCCATTTGATTTGTAAATTGATGGTTACAAGGATTTTCCTTTTTTTCTCATGATACTATTCTTTTCACAACATCATCAGATTTAAAGTTATCAACCAGATGTTATGCTGCCTGCCAGCTTGATATTAAACGTATTTAGCAGCTAGACCACTTTGGCTTCTTGAGAAACCATGATTAAACCAACAATGGCATAATATGTATTAATCTTTGCATTTCTTAAAGCATGTAAGAAATTTTTGTACCGTCATCCATATTGTTTTCTTCTTTTTGCTAATTGTCTCACATTCACTTTTTGCAGTCATCTCTGAGCTCTGCGTCTGCATCTTCTTTTCAACCTCATGTGCCTTATAGTCCTTTCAGAGGGATGTCGTCCTACAGTCAGCTTGCTGCCAATTCTTTAATTGGCCAACAATATGCAGCATCTCTTGGGTTAGGTGAGTAACAAAGACCTTCCTGTCGCTGAGATGATCAGTCTCTGGGCTGCACCCAGAATATTCTGCAGAGAATATTCTTCTGAGGGAGAAATACATATTGATGAATAAGAAAAGCATTTAAAAAAAAATTGTATCATAATATTGTGGGAAAATATTTCTCATCATATAACTCTCTAATCTTTCCCATATTGTGGGAAAATATTTCATCATATAACTCTCTTAATCTGAAGACTTCCCACCTTGGCACTGACTGATATATAGAGTGAAAATTAGGCTTAAAGATACATTGAATTTGGACCTTTGCTAAATTGAAAGCAAAACTTTAGCTTTGCAAAAACCAGTGTTAAACTTTAACTTTTTACTGGTTTTAAACAAGGTTATTAAGTGAAGTTTGTTCAACTAATCCATTTTTAGACAGGCTACTGACTGGATGGTATATGTAAGTAAAATGTACAAATTAATGAATATCAGTTGAACATTTATTAGGATTCCTTCCTCTTTTCAGTGCATCTGAGCAGTTACTCGGGTTTTTGTAGGGGTGGATGAATGTTGGACTCTATTTTCTACATGAACACTAACATATTTTTGGAAACACACAGGTTAGAATTCTGAGCAGTGAGAAAATTAAAGGTTATTCATATATTCGTTCAGGAAAAATAAATTATTCAGTGTTAAATGACATATTCATTTTTTTTGTCCATTTCTTCATTTCTGTCACTTTTTAAAGCCATTTCTGCATAAAGTTAGCATACAATGTGTAATGTATATCTGATGGTGGGCAACTTAACAGGATCTGTCTTGTTCCCTGGTCACATTCTTCCAAGTTTCAGAACTTTTAAGAATATGTTAGCTGCTTAAACCTTCTCTCCTCAGTCGTCTGGATGTCAGTACTGCCGTGTGTCTCACCAGTCTCCTCCTCTGCTTTTTCTTCTCCTCCCTTGTCTGTCTTTCTAGAGAAGCTGGTAAGCCCTCCAGCATCAGCAGCTGCTTCCAGTCCTAGCACTTCTTCATCTCCTCAGCCAGTTTCAGAGCCTGACTTGTCATCAGAGCCACATCTGCTGTCTTCTAAGGGTAACAGCAGCTTGAGGATTCCAAGTATTAGAAGAATTGCATGGTGTTTGCAAAAGCTTTGTTTTTTTTAAAAAAAAACCTTCTTCCTGTACAAAGTAACATGTGCAAGAATTACCGCAGTAGTGTTGTTTCTGAAAGCCTTGGTGCACCTGCTCCAGGTATCAGATGGGTAGATGAACAGGAACTCGCTTCTTAGCCACTCATTTAATTGTCTTAGGTGAAAACTAGACTGAAGGGATAGTGCAGGGTGGAAACAGAGAAATTTGGGAGCATAAACACATGGAGAATGAGCTGTTGCAGATTTGGAAGCCTTCCACTTTGCAAAAAACTCCTACCTGTGCAACTAAGAGAAGAGGGGGGGAAATTACAAATTAAAGCTGGGAGAAAATTATTCCTATAATATTTAGTATATTGGCAGATGATAGGACATCCACAAGGCAATCCATTGTTCATGGGCATGTCTTAGGAATTCCCGAGTGGTGTTGGAATACAGCAGTTTACATTTGGTAAAATGTTTTCCCCAGATAAATTCTGGCCTGGTGAATTCAGCATCCTGACTAGTTGATGGGCCTTGCTTGAATTCTGTGGCAAACCTATGAGGCCAGGGTTCAGCAACGGTGGGCAAAAGTTGGGAAGGAGAGGACAAGGAGCAGTCTCTTTGTTCCATATTTTGAACGTTTCTAAAGTAAGATTTTCTTCAGGGAGTTGTGCTTCTAGTTTTCTTCAGGTGATTATGTTATTCTGTGCTTTTTGAATGTATTTTTGTGCATTTTCTTGAGTAGCCTTGAACTTAGTTAACGCTTGGTGGGGGTGGCATTTCCTTCACACTTCCTTTTGAATTTTGGATAGTCTAAGGCAGCGATGGAGGAAGAAGTATTTGAAGTTGCAATTCTCCTCAGAATCATATTTGAGGATTTGGGGGAAGCTGTGTGAGTGGCTTTTAAGCAGTAATAGACATTTTCTGAAACTCTTGCAGTGGATATTCAGAAAGGGTAACGTTATTTGTCAGTTCGGCATCTTAGAAATTAATTTGCAGCTCTAGAATTTTTTTTCGCCTTCAGGGCCACTTAAAAAAAGGTTTCAAGAGGTTTTGACATAACACAAGCATTGCATAAATATATATATTTTACTGTTTCAAGCAGTAATGAAATATGTGTGCCTCAGCATATACCTACAGAAATCGGAATTCATGGTTCAGATCTAATTGTCAATTACAAAGTGGTTGGACTTCATCTTACTGTGGAAATGCATATCTCTGTTTGATTGCCTACTGTGTGAGTTAGTTTCAAATACAATTACAGTATGGTTTTTTTAAAAAGATATATGGGACCCAGACAAGGTTTATGGATGATTCTATTATATATATATATATGTTTTCTCGTATTTGATGTTTCAATCAGCATCACAGTAATGGAATATTTGATGGGAAAGAGGAGATGAACTTAATCATAGATCAAAAGGAAAGAGTTATATATTCAGTTAATTGAATTCTGCAGTTGAAGAACTACAGGGACCCCTGTATCTGCATGCTTTATTTTCCTTCCAAAACAGAGGCTTTGTGTGTGCTTAGCAGGAACCTTGATCTTGCCGTGCTTCTGTTGTTGTCAGCGTTAAATAGCCAGAAAACAATACTAGATATAAAGCTTAATACTTGTCAAGAGGACTTGTCAGCTCCTTGAGATAGGCCAGGTCAAGAAACAATCTCTGAACTATTGTAGCTGCTTTTCTAAGTCTTTACTGGTTCATTCCTCCACCTCAAAGGCTTTTCATACCTTCTTGAGGTCAGGTCCTAATTTTTTTTACAGACATATAGGCTGAAAGCTTGTCGCTTTCCTCATGGAGGCTTTGTTGAGTTTTCTTTTAAAACAAATTTCTCACAGCTATTCTAAATTTTGCATGTTTGAGTGGAATGGCTTCCAAATGACTTGTTTTCTCAGGTAAACTGATAATCAGGCTAAAGATTTTCTGAAACACACCAATTCTGGTAAAAGCTGGAATGTGTGCTCTCCCAGGAAAAGCTGTGTTTTCCATTGAACCAAATTATTATGGAATGTTTAGATTTGCTGCTTTTTAACTTGTAGATTTGCTGCTGGATGGACAGGTCCAATCTGCTAGCAAATCCCACAAGTCTGAAGTTGGTATGCTTTTATACTGGTACCTTTGAGCTTTGCTACTAGCTGCCTGTGTCAATATGGTGAGGAATCCATTATCATAATCACCTGACAATCGAGCAGCTAACTTTTTGTAAATGTGGGTACATTCATATGTCATTCTCAGCAATATTACTTGTTTGGTTTCGGCTTAGCATGTGGCACTTACACAGTCAATTATAACTTAGTCAAAAGAACACACTTCAACTTCGTTGTGATGTGTGTGAACCAGATCTTTTAATTATGTCAGTAGTCACATTTCTGTGTGAAAGAGCTTAGCTTTCAGACTTTCTTCCCAAAGATTCAGAGGGTGTGATTTTCATCTAAATCTGAGAATCCATCTGGTTTGGTGTGAAATATGTGCAGCGAAATTTATTTCAAGTAACCTGTTGAAATTTGCTACTATTCAAGAACTATAAGAAAATTGAATTTGTGTCTTGTAGCATCACCATCCGTGCAGTGTTTTTGGTCAATCGCTAATGCTTCCTAAGTAAGCCTCTTTCAGGAGAAGATTCTGTTTCAAAATCTTTTGACAGGATTGAGGGGAGCCAAGGTCTCTGAGCACAAATCAAGTTTGGTCCGAACAACTGCAGGGGTTACTGACGTTGCTTGGTTTCTCTCAGGTGCTGCTTTTCCATCTGTTCATTCAGTGCGCAAAAGTCCAATGGTGGAGCAGGCTGTTCAGACTGGCCCGCTGGATAACAGCTTGAATCCCAAAAAGGCAGTCAAAGCTCCTCCAGCAATTCAACGCAACACACGTCAGATTCAGCAGAATCACAAGACAAATGGTACTGAAATCTTTTCCTTCAGACAATATGCCAGCATTTTAAATTAATAGTAATTGGAACTACCATCTGCTGTTGCCTTTCAGTATCTTGGCTATATGGAGTGAACAGGTTTTCCTATTTTGTCTTAGATATAGTTGACCCACCACCTGTGCAAACGCAAGGGCAGGTGAATGATGAGAATAGAAGGCCCCAGAGGAGGAGATCAGGTATGTTACCTGATTGTAAATTGTCCAAAGTAATTGAATTTAATTCTTCAAAGCAACTGAATTGCCCTCTTCTGCATTACTGCTGTAATGCAATCTTTCATAGAAGAATCAAGATTAATTACTCCTAATTAATTCAGTATACTCCTATTTCAGTTGAAGGCTAGAAGAATTCAACATCTCTATGCATGAAAAACTAAAAGAATTAAAGTGAAAGGATATCAGAATAGTCCACAAGGACCTGAAGTCTTATGGAGTGATATGACTTTAGCAGCATTAGCCGAGGAAGCTATGCTGGTCTAGGAGAAATATTTCAAATCTAAGTCACAATGTAAAATGAATTAGAATGCAACAACTTACCAGTATTTCTGTAATGTTCAATAGAGTAGAAGTTAAGCAAAATATTTCTAAATTAAATAGAATTATTTTTCACTATGTTGCAATACAGGTAGCTCTCAACTTATGACCAGAGTTGAGCCCAAAATTTCCACTGTTAAGGCAAGACAGTTGTTAAGTGAGTTTTGCCTCATTTTATGACCTTTCTTGCCACAGTCATTAAGTGAATCACTGCAGTTGTTAAGTTAGTAACACAGTTGTTAAGTGAATCTGGCTTCCCCATTGACTTTGCTTGTCTTAAGGGCACAAAAGGGGATCACATGACCCCAGGACACTACCACCGTCATAAATACATGCCAGTTGCCAAGCATCTGAATTTTGATCATATAATCATGGGGATGCTGCAACAGTCGTAAGCGTGAAAAACAGTCATGGTACTTTTTCCAGTGCTGTTGTAACTTTGAACAGTCACTAAAAGTATGGTGGTAAGTCAAGGACTATCTGTATAAACAAGATTCAGAAGCAAAATTTCCTGAAGCTTCTGATTTGATGGATGTCTTCTGCTGAGTGTAAGGCGATCTCCATCAAATTCTAGGTATTCATGCCAGGCAAGCCTAATAGAATGAGAAGTACCAGATCAACCAGCTTGATGGCATCACTTCTGTGGAATTCAAATGATGTTGAACAACACAGCATCATGCATTGCCTTGAGCAAGGAGCATGTAAGGTCAAGCCTTGCTTTGTCTAAAATTAAATGAATTCTCACTAGAAGATTGTAACATCTTCTGTTTAGGAAATAGAAGAACTAGGAATCGTTCCAGGGGACAGAATCGACCAGCTGCCGTGAAAGAGAATACAATCAAGTTTGAAGGTGACTTTGACTTTGAAAGCGCCAATGCACAGTTCAACCGAGAAGAATTGGATAAAGAATTCAGGAAGAAACTTAATTTCAAGGGTTAGCATTTTGGCTGTTTGTTGTATTCCAGTTTCCTCCTTGGTGTGGATGAAAGAAAACACCCAGTACAGGAGTGTCTACACTTGGCAACTTATATTGGCTGAGGGATTCTGGGAGCTGAAGTCCATGAGTCTTAAAATTGCCAAGTTTGGAGACCCCTGATCTAGTAACAGTATAGCATGTCATTATATACGCACATTTAAAATAACTATTCCTTCTCTCTCCCCCCTTCTCCATCAGATGATAAAGTTGACACCGGAGAAGACAAGGGAGAACCTACTGTGGCTGCTGAAAACTGTGATGGCAACCCAGATGAAGATCTACTGGGACCCAACTGCTATTACGACAAAACAAAATCCTTCTTTGATAACATCTCATCAGAACTGAAGTCTAGGTAACAGAACTCTAGCAGCTTTATTTTATCTCTTCCACACTAATTCTGTCAGTGTAATACTGTTTTTGCCTGGTTATCCTGGTATATTGAGCAGAAATTTGCTTTTCAACAAATGAATGTCCTTAAATCTGCAGTCCCTGGTCCTTTTTCAGTTGCAAATGAATGCCTTTCTCAATTTTGTACTATATTGTAGATTTTACCTACAGCCCTTCCCAGATTATTGAAGCCATGCTTGAAAAGTCCTAAAAGCATTTTTTAGCCTCTAAAGTACTCTGCAGTACTTAAGGTTTAAAGTTTGATAAGCAATCATAGATGGGATTTAAAAAGAAATTTGAGACCAAAAGAACTTGATCAACCAAAAACTTGGTAGAAATCCTTGGATTTGAGCCTTAATCTCATTTTTGTGTGATGGGAATCCAAAATGTTTAGAAACTGTATTCTTTGGGGTTCTTGATATCCTTGTTTCTTAACTTTTACCAAGTTCTGCCTTTAGTTAAGATTTTAATGATAGAGGGAAGCAGAAAAAAACAATGTATATAACATATTCTTGGCCGAAACAAAACTCAAATACTGCTGCTTGGTTACTGAATCCTTTATCCCTAATTCATCCTTCTGAATTACTTGATCTATGTGCTTTGGAAATCTCAGCAACAGCAATATGATTTGGAATAATTTACAATCATAAAGCCCATTTTATAGGATATTTTGTGAGAGTTTTTGTGTGGGAAATGATGTGATGACTTTAGTCTTAGTCTTTGCTTGAGACAAGAGTTTTACAGCAGAAAGTTAGAGAGAACTTGACTGTAATAGGAAAACTGGTTACTTTTGTTCTTTAGTTCACGGCGTACAACGTGGGCTGAAGAACGGAAGCTGAACACAGAGACCTTTGGTGTTTCTGGGCGATTTCTCCGTGGCCGCAGTTTTCGTGGGGGATTTCGTGGTGGAAGGGGGTCTGGAGCTGTGCGGCGAAGTCAGGCTACTCCCAGAGTTGGCACTGGAAGAGTTTGAATTCTGCAGGCAAGTTACAAAATTAAAGTATTTTAGTTTCATCTTTCTTAGAGCAGCTGGGATAAATAAAGAAAATTAAATGGTTTGCTCATAATGAGTCTGTTCCTCAAAACTAACGATTAGACTCTTTGGAGGAGGTATTTAAAGTAGTGAAATATTTGCTTTTATGGTGGTGCAAGCTTTTTTTGCAGGCAGAATTTTTCAAGGGTTTTCTAATCCTCAATTTATGACCGTAATAGAACCTGCCCATTATGGTTAAAAAATTTTGATGGTCATAAAATGGATCGCCTGATTTTATGACCTTTTTTTGTGGTGATCATTAAGCGAATACATGGTTGTTAAGCAAATTTCACTGTCATTAAGCAAACCACTGCTTACTACGGAACATTTTATGCCAAAAGAAAATGCTAGGTTTTGGTGGAAATGTCATAAATCATGGTTGCACGACCGTGGGATGCTGCAAATGGTCAGAAATGTGGGCCAATTGCCAGGCACCCAAAATGCAATCACATGATCGGAAGTGAGGGTGGCCATCGGATCTTACTTGCAACTTTTGGGACATCATCTGTAGCTTCAGTCAGTCACTTAAGTGACCAGTCATAAGTGGAGGACTACCTGTACCTAGTTAACCTTTAGAACTTAAAATACTTCAAGTGTATTTCAAACAATCAAAACAGAGTTGGAAGGGACCTTGGAGGTCTTCTAGTCAATCCCCTTTCTCAAGCAGGAGACCAGGCCTATACCATTTCAGACATGTCTGGGACTCATAAACAACCGATGCCCTCACATTCTCCTGTTTTTACTTGTGAAAAGGTTTACCATTTGCCTCCACCCCTTTATTATTCATTTGAAGTAAACAAGCATCCAACAGAGCAAGGTAAATAGACAAAAGAGTCAACTTGCAACGAGATGGACAGCAAACAAATTTAATAACAAATTTATTGTATATTTGGAAGAAAAAAAAAACATGTCTCTGTTTTATTTTAGAGCTTTCAGCCACATCGCTATGAAGTCATGTACATAGGAAGGAGGGAACAATACAAACTTGCTGCACTTAAAAAAGGATGGGTGAATGAAACTTTTATCTTCACAAGCCTGAATTCCGATGGGATTATTGCTAGTCTGTCACAGCAGATGGGAGCACTGGGATTACTTCAATAGGAGCGCACTCGGGAACCACCGGTTCAAGTTTTGTTTTTTCTCTCTCAATTTTTCTTTTTGCAGGGGAGGGTCTTTTGCAAGTAGTGCAAGCAACCTGTGCTGCTGCTTAAATTCTAGCCGCTGTTGTAGTTGAGCACGGGGAGGAGTACTTGTTCTATTCCCAAAGAAAGCGATGCAATTCTGAACTCTTCCAAACAAAAAAAAAAAAAAAAAAACCACCCCAAAACCAGCAACTTAAATTTGGAGAACGGACAAGTCTGCTGGTCTCCTTTTTCTTCTGACTTCTATGCTTTTCTCTTCACCTTCCTTCCCCACCCCCTTTGGAGCAATTGTTTTGATGTCTAGAAACCAATTCTAGTGCAAACATGTTGTGTGTGTGATGTAGTGATGGGATTTGTCGCCCACCATGTTATCTGTAATTCTGACTTGCCGCTTGAGAAATCTTTTCTCTGGAGTTTTACACACTGCAGAGTTGCTTGGAGTGCTGGTCACCCCTCTCAGAAGAATTAGTATCTCAAAACTGATCCGGGATGAATGCCGTTGTCGATTTTCTAATGATGAGCCGTTCTACACCACTGCGGATTTTCTGTAGGTGGAGGCGGCTTAAAACGTACACATCATGCCCTTTCAGCAAATCTTGAGGGATCTTTTTTTATCTCTCTGATTTAAAGGGGGAAAAAGTTCCAAGCTTCACGTTCTCTCAAAATGCGAGATGCAACTTCTAAATGAAGCTTGGGTGGATTCAGTAAACTCAGTTGCTCTTCATAATGTCCCCCAACTTATAGTTTTGTTTCGTTTTTTTTGGTGTGTTTTTAAAATAGTTGTGGAGGATATGAGCACACAGGGATTATACACTTGCATGGAAATGGGTAAAAGCCTTTAGTAATAGGTTTGTGCCACTTTTGTTACCTTGTAGAAATATTCTGTTGAAAGGCTTCCATAGTGGAGGCTGCGTCTCCTCCCCGCCACCCCCATTTCCATGGCTCCCCCTAGGTCTTGCATTAAGTTGGTGTAAAGCTTTAGTTTTGTTTTTTTTTTGTAGGCCTTCATTGCAAAGAGTGACACGTTGTGATGAGGTCGCATTATGGAGTCATGTAAATTGTAATTATAAATAAACATGTAAATGTTTAACTGTTCTGTTTTTTTGGTTTTTTAAAAAAAGTTTTCAATCAAAAGGGTTAGACAACTTGCAAACCAGGATGATGCTGCATTTAGGATGCCCAGAATTAGTTACATGGTTTCTTGAGTTAAGAAAAAACACACATGCGCATGCATACACATTGTCTGCTTACTTCAAAAGCACTTTCATACAAGTAATATGTTAACCGCATGTCATTTGTTCTTTATTGCTGAAGTTTCAACATTTTCTCCTGGGAGCCTAGCCACTTGCTTCTTAATCTCCATTTTGAAATGTAAATACTTCTGCCTGGATAAGAGATGCTGAAAGGCTTGGAAAATAAAATTTTAGCAATCATGAAAAATGGATTGGGTGTCCTTTTAGGGAAACCAATCTGAAGCTGCCGTTTGGCATTTTTAAATACTTAACGTTCGTGTCTTGCAAAACATAACCACCTGCTATACATTGCAGTTTGTAGGGACCATCTGAAAGAAGAGCAAAATGGTTGCTTAAAAGGGGGGGGGGAATATCCTTGCAAAGCAGACCCCCTGCATGTAATTGAACAAAATAGACAAGATCCACTGAGTGTCTTTGAACAGTTTTGAAATTTTGATGGATTTCTGCCATACACTTCCTGAATATTGAAAATGGACGTTGGACTTACCTGATACGTCCGTTCTCTCTTAGTAAGGAACGTCTGTCAGACTGGGTTATGGACTCCACTATGCAGCCTATGACCGAGTCTGCGGATTTAAATAACTCCGCCCTCTCCTGGATGATCCCCAGTGTTTCGGCGAGGGCGTAGACGCAGACTGGGGTGTCTTTCTGGAAAATACAAAAGAGAGGTAAGAGAACACCACCCACCCCCGGGAACAGGGCACGGCAGAAGGGTGGGGCTGACAGACGTTCCTTACTAAGAGAGAACGGACGTATCAGGTAAGTCCAACGTCCATTCTCCTCAGCGTAAGGAACGTCTGTCAGACTGGGGACATACCAAAGCTGAATGTCCGCTGGGAGGGAAGATCAAGGGCCCTGTTACCTCAAGTCGAGTGGACCGTCTGGAGAACTCTGCGCCCAAAGGCCGCATCCGCAGAAGCAAACGAGTCCACCCGGTAGTGGCGAATAAAGGGAGAGATGCTCGACCAGGCGGCAGCTCTGCAGATTTCTTCCCACGAAGCCTGGGTCGCCCATGCAGCAGAGGTCGCCGCGCTCCTGGTGGAGTGGGCAGTGACGTGGTGAGGTACAGGCAAGGATTGTCTTTGGTAGGCCGTCGATATTGTAGCGCGGATCCAACGACCCAACATAGGAGCAGATGCCTTGGCCCCGATAGAAGCGGGTTGGTAAGAGACAAATAAAGCCTCTGTCTTCCGAAAGGAGGAAGTGCGCCTCAGGTATATTTTGAGAGCACGACGCACGTCAAGCGTGTGCCATGAGCGTTCTAAGGGATGCTGAGGGGACGGGCAGAAGTTGGGTAGGACCAACTCTTGTGAGCGATGAAAGGGGGAATTGATTTTGGGTATGAAGGAAGGGTCCAGTCGGAGGACTACCCTGTCCTGGTGAAAAACGCAGAGGTCCCTTCGAGATGACAGAGCCGCAAGCTCCGAAATGCGGCGGGCCGAGGTGATAGCGACCAAAAAAGAGACCTTGAATGACAAGAAACGGAGCGAGACGTCTCGAAGAGGCTCGAAGGGGGAAGCCGTAAGAGCTGAGAGGACCTTGTTCAAATCCCAAGTAGGGAAGCGATGAACGGGAGGAGGTCTTAAATTTGCAGCTCCTCGCAGGAATTGTTGGACGACAGGATGCCGGGAAATCGAGGATGCGGAGCCGCAAGTCAGAACCGTAGAGATGGCGGCAGCTTGCCTCCGGAGGGTGTTTGGAGATAGTCCGGCAGCAAATCCCTCCCGGAGAAAAAGTAAAACGTCCAGGATTGAAGCAGAAAGGGGATTAACACGAGCGCGCTGGCACCAAGAGGAGAAGGAGGCCCAGGTGGAGTTGTAGATCCTGACAGTAGAAGGCCGGCGGGAAGCTAAGATGATGTCTATCACGGACGAGGGGACCTTGGCCTCTTGCAGGAGGAACCGCTCAGCCTCCACGCGGTTAAGTGGAACCATGCCGGATCCGGATGGCGAAGGGAACCCTGGACGAGGGCAATCTGGTTGGCCGGAATAGACCACGGCCGAGCGACAGATAGGGAGATCAAGTCCGAGTACCAGTGTCTCCGGGGCCAGCGGGGCGCGAGGAGAATGATTTCCGCTTGCTCTTGAAGGATCTTCCTGAGCACCCTGGAAAGTAACGGAAAGGGGGGGAAGGCATATAAGAGACCGGGAGGCCAAGGGCTGCGAAGAGCGTCCGTGGCTTCCGCCCCGGGATCCCAGAACCGAGAGAAGTACCTCGGAACCTGGTGATTGGCCTGCGATGCGAAAAGGTCCACTTCTGGGAACCCGAAGCGTGTCGTGATCTCCTTGAAGAGAGAAGGGGGGAGGCTCCATTCCGCGTTGTCCAGCCGACGTCTGCTTAGAGCATCCGCTTGCGAATTCTCCATCCCGGAGATATGATCTGCACGAAGGGAGTGAAGGTGAGACTCAGCCCAGAGACCAAGTAGCAGGGTCTCGTCCATTAGCGCTCGGGAATGGGTGCCTCCCAGTCTATTAACGTGAGCCTTCGCCGTAACGTTGTCCGTAAGGACAAGGACGTCACGAGACACGATAAGGTCTCGGAAATGAAGCAAGGCTAGACGGATGGCTCTTAGTTCCAGGAGGTTAATTGGAAGAAGTTGCTCTGAAGATGACCACTGACCTTGCGCCATGTGATGTGTCAGGTGAGCTCCCCAGCCCTGGAGGCTCGCGTCCGTGGTGACTATTACTCGCGGTGTTTCCCTGAAGCAGCAAGCTCCTGACAAGGCCGAGGACGTCCACCACCTGAGGGAGGATATGACGGATGGGGCTATAGGTACTCTGATGAGGGACGTACTTGATCGCTTCCGTTGATGGGGGAGCAGGAACCATTGTAATTCCCTACTGTGGAGACGGGCCCACGGCACTATATCGTAAGTAGAGATCATCTTGCCCAGAAGGCAAGAGAGACTAAGGAGAGAGGCTGATCGATCTGCCATACAGCGGCGGGCAAGCGAGCGCAAGCTGTCCTGGCGGTCCAAGGAGAGGGAAACTGTAGACCTCACTGTATCTATGACAGCCCCTAAATGTTGGATAGAAGTGGCAGGGACCAGATGGCTTTTGGTCCAGTTAATGGAGAACCCGTGTGATTGGAGAATTTGGATGGAAGTGGCCAAATCGGATTGGGCCTCCTGGAATGAAGAAGATTGCAGAAGAATATCATCGAGGTAAAATTGGATTCGTATGGGGAGGGAGCGAATGTGTGCCACGAGAGCCGCCATGATCTTAGTAAAGACACGGGGGGCTGAAGAAAGTCCAAAAGGGAGTGCAGAATATTGGAAGTGTCGCCCCCGGTAGTGAAAGCGGAGATATTTACGGAAATCCGGGTGAATGGGGACATGGAGGTAAGCCTCCGTTAGGTCTATGGAAGACAAGAAGTCCCCGGGGCGAATGGTTTCCAGGATAGTATGGAGAGTGTGCATCTTAAATTTGTGATACACAATGTAACGGTTAAGAGCCTTTAAGTCTAAGATAGCCCTCCACCCCCCAGAGGATTTGCTAACTATAAACAACCGGGAATAAAACCCAAGGCCATGCTGGTCGGGAGGTACTGGTTGTATGGCCTTGATGGTAACTAAGTGGGAAATAGCCTGAGAAACCAGGGATCTCCGGACCCTGTCCCTAGAGACTGGGCAAGAGATAAAAACCGAGGGGGGAGGGGAGGAGAATTCAAGAGAAAGACCAAACTGAACCGTACGTAAAACCCAAGAGTCCGAAGTCGTGGAAGCCCACTGAGCGGCAAATAAGGTTAAGCGACCGCCAATGGGAGCTTCCAGGTGAACCTCACTTGGACCGTCTAAACGATCTGCCCCTGCCTCCTCGAAAGGAACGTTTCTGGAAGGGCCTAGGGCCCTGTCTAACCTGTGAGTCCTGGGAAGGCTGGGATTGAAAGGAACGTTGAAAGCGAGGCTGGGAGAAGCCGGAGTCTTGAGGTCGAAATGACTGAGACCGGTGGTAAGGAGAAAACCGCGAGTTGGAACGACGAGAGACAGACGGGAGAATCTTGCGGTGGTCTCTGGTTTCCACCAAAAGTGGTTCCAGGGGAGGACCGAAGAGAGAAGAAGATGAATAAGGAGAAGAAGCTAGTTGCCACTTGCTCTTGGCGTCCGCTTGCCAATGGCGGAGCCATAAAAGGCGACGTGACGTTACTGTGGAGCCGATGGATTTGGCTGAAAATCGTGCAGAATTTAATGTGGCGTCTGCCGAGTACTCTAAGGCGGCGACTATCTTGTTTAAATCTTGGTGTGTACGAGAGTCCGAAGGTGGTAACCTGTCTTGTAATTGTTTTAGCCAAAGCAGAGAGGCTCGATTAAAAAAAGAAGCGGCCGTTGCGGTTTTGACTGCCCATGCTGCGGATTGATGAGCTTTGATGAGAGTCTTCTCCGCCCGTTTGTCTTCGGGTCGCAGAGATTCTTCCGGAGAGCTGGGAAGCCTGGAAGGAGCAGCCAAGGCTGCGACGGGGGCGTCCACGGGAGGAACCTGTAGAAGGTCCGAAAGAGCAGGAGCGGTTTGGTACAATCGCTTATCCAAACCATTGGGTGCCGGGGCCGAACCAGGTAAGGTCCATTGTCGTTGGACAATATCCGTAAAAAGCTTGGGGGCCGGAATGAGTTCTGGTTCAACCGTTGGTTCAGCAAATAAGGATGAGGCTGGATCAGAGGACACCTGTGATGTTGACCCCGAGACATTGGGAGACCCCAGTCTTGTGACTGCTAGAGCTTTAAACAATAAGGAACGGAATAACTGGGGCCTAAAGAGGCCAACAAAAGCGGGCTGGTCCGGAGCGAGGCCCTCGTCGTCAGAAAGAGACTGATCCCGAGGTTCCTCTTCCTCGGAGAGGGAACCATGGTCCGATTGCTCAGGAGAAGACAGGTGTTCCTGGCGGTCTCCAGAGTGGGCCCGGCGAGATTGGGCTCCAGGAATGGGCGGGGGGGGGCTGAAGGAGGCCTTGTTGCAGTCCTTGAGAGAGCCCCCGTTGAATGGCTCTGGCTATGATGGCCTCCAAGGCAGCATGGGGATCTGTGTGGGAAACGCTCCCTGCGCTGGCCTGAGAAGACCCATGCCCGGAAGGCTGGCAAGAGGGCTCAGGTGTAGTGTCTCTCCTCTGCGCCAGAGTATCAGAGGGATCCGGAAGAGTCTGGAAAACCTGTTCTGCCTCCGATGACGTGGGACCCCGAGATGAAGGGCGATCAGGAGAAAGGTCCCGATCGGAACGGGCCATGGTAGATTGAGGCGCAGGAGGAGAGGGCCCAGGAGGTAAAATGGCCGACGTGCGGGACAAAATGGCGGCAGGCTGCTGTTGAGCCTTGAGAGCCGCTTTTTCCAATGCCCTGTGCCTCCTAAGTTCCTCCCTGGTGGGCTTGGTTAGGCCAGAGGAGGATGATGTTGTTTTAGATGGGGCTTTGCTCGGGCGGTTTTGATTGCTGGGACCCTCCCCCGGATCGCTAACATGTCGATGTCGGGACCTGGTAGCAGCGGAGCGAGAACGAGGGTGATGAGAGGCGTCCGCCATCTTAAAATGGGTCAGCGCGCACCGCCGGGGGCCCCTGAGCGATTGGAGATCTCAAACCTCTAAGACGATGAAGCTCCGGCGATGAGTGAGGGGGAGGCAGGTCCGCTGCTGGTAGGCTCCTGGAAAACCGTCCGTGCGAAGGAGGCAAGCCGCTTGCTCAAGGCAGTCAGGGCGGCAGGAAAATAATGGCGCCGTTTGAAAAGCCCGCCAGAAAAAAACGGCGCCGATCAAGCTGCTAGGCGAATGCCGTTAAGAAGCAGCTATTTGTCTCCCGATGGTAAGGGGAGACTGAGGGGGAAATTTGAGCTCCAACCCCTCAGGGGGCTGTCGGCAAGCAGCCCCCTTGCCGCAAAAGCGGCTGCGGCCGGTATCGAGTAAGGACCCTTCGCGCCGCTGATGCGATTGAAAGGAAAAAAAAAAAAAATTCTTAAAGCGTCCAAATTGAATAACAGCCGAATTTGAGAGGAAAGAAAATAAAAAAGAGGTAAAAATAGCAGAAAATACGTTGGAAACAGACTGGGTCCAGAAAGACACCACTGTCCAGCATAGGACCGAGTCGAAACACTGGGGATCATCCAGGAGAGGGCGGAGTTATTTAAATCCGCAGACTCGGTCATAGGCTGCATAGTGGAGTCCATAACCCAGTCTGACAGACGTTCCTTACGCTGAGGAGAACGGCTAAATCTGATTATGCAACTCAAGATTTTTTGACCAAATTCAAATTAGAGGTTGGATGATTTAGACATCCCTAGATGTTCTGTGAAGATAGTAATTCATCTTGCAAAGAAGTCAACATTTGCCCCATGTAAACTATTCTTATTGATACTGGTTCTGCAGCATATCAACTTTCCAGTCCTGGCTATACATGCGATACTTCCAGGGGGGATCTGTGTCTTTTATAACAGAGCAATAGCCTCTTGCTTGCACAATATTGCTAACACATTCCATTTGAGCTTTAGAGATTAGTAGGCTGCCCAGATAAAACACTGGGGTGTTCATGTTAGGGCACATTTCCTTGAATTTGGTAATTGGCAGTTAAGTATGAATATTGATAAATGAAAATCCATTAGAAACACACCCCTTAAAACTACGTACTTGCTCTGAAAGTATCACTCGTAATAGAAGCATCCTGCCATCACTTCAGAAGCCAAGTATCTTCAGTTTTTAAATAATGTGGAACACCTATACTGAACTTGAAAATTACTTTTCCATTTATTACAATTACTATATCCGAGTCTCTGAATCTTAGTGAATTTTGCACTAGTGCACTACCTGTTAACTTCGAATCGAACCTGGCATAAGCCATTTTGCTATTCCTGTTCCACACAGGGGAGGGGGAAGGATGAAATACATTAGACAAAACACAACTTTCTCATGGGAACCAAGGTCATCTTTACAGGTGGTGGATAGAGACGGGAAGGAGTGCCTGGAGAGCCCGCCAATTAACCTAATTGGCCAACGTGACCTGTGACATTTGGGGAGGGAGTTATTTCCTATTTTAATTATACTGAAATCGTGGGAAACATTTAGAGTTGGTTTTCCATTTGATCGTGCCACTATGATGTATCCAATAAAGAAGTTCTTTGAGAAAGACCTCAACCTCCAAGTTCTGATTTGCTTGGGTTTGTTAATCGGGATCTTGACACCACCTTTCAAAGGCTCACAAGTATTCTCCAGCACATGTACACAGCCACAGGGAGTGGTTCAGACCTGTGAATCTTGGCTTAGCCCGTCTTCTACCTTACATTATTCTATCTGGGCTGCAAAATCACAAAGGACCATAATTCAAGGGACAGATTAAAAAAAATCTTCGCTGAAATGCTTATTTGCTCTAAATGACAGAAAACCCCCTTTTTCCAATGATTCAACTTAACACTCCCTATGTTCCAATTGTTCTATATGCAAATACTTTTCACCATATTGCATCCTCCCACAAAATATACCATTTGATATGTATGTTTGCCAACACTTTGAAGTTTTGGATTGTAACTCCCGTGACTTTGATGATTGTCTGGAACTGACGAAGGAACAAACCAGATTAGCTTGTAAGAAAAGGGCTCAACACCAATGTATTTTTTGAAAAAGCAAGACTACGGTAACATTTTCATAATTTCAGGGTGACATTACAACCCTGGTCCCATCCTGAATCTATGAGAATTTCTACTACCTGCCAAAATGATTTTATTGAAATTTACTGCCATGCAGTTAGAAATCAATTCACACACAGATCTACTGTCAAATGTTCAACAGAGATCAGAAGTTTACATTTTATCTTTTGTATTTTAAGTGCAAAATTGAAGTACGAACCATTTCCACATTATGCTGGAGTGAGGTTTCAGCAATTTTAGGCTTTGTCAATCATTACCCTGATGAATTTTAACAAACTGGAACATAAACATTAGCAATGCAGCAGTGGTGATAAACAGTAATAGAACAATTAGTAATAAAAGGTATCTTCTATGTCAAATTGTGGATTCTTGAACAAGTTATGAAAACATTTTCTATTTCTGTTTAGAAAAACTGGTATTATTGCAGTCTGGCTTATATATATATATATGTACGTGTATATATATACACATACACATATAAGAATGGAGCCTCTTCTAGTAACAAGCTTAAAAAAACAGGTGGTTTATTGTAGACCTCTTAAAAGGGGCAGAGAACAAGGAAATAGAATGCTTACATATTTATACAGACTCATGATTGATTTAAAAACCAAAACTAAAGAAATTCATTCATCATGTTGTAGTTTTCTTCTGTTTCTTCTTCTCATTCTCTTCTTTCTCTTTTTCAATTTCAGCAACGTATTTTTCAATTTCATCAGGGCTCAGTATCTAAAGGGAAGTGATGAAAATACCATCAATTGGTCAGTTTCAAATATTACGTAAGATGTTTCAGTGTGGCCTGTTCCCTAACAAATTCTCTCATCCTCTGAAAAATCATTGATCCAATGGTAATAAGCAGAGAATAATGGTGGTTAAACAAGCCAGGTTAAGGGAAAGACAGATAAACCCATTACCTATTTTATTCAGCCCCATCTTTTCTAGTCCTGTTAGGGCAAAGATGCTGCTGTTATCACACCAACAAAATTGGTGTGCGATAATTTTTTTCAATTGAGGCAAAATTTCACATTGCATTTATAATATTCTATAGCAGAGGTCCCCAACCCCTGGGCTGCAGACTGTAACCGGTCCAAGGCCTGCCAGGAACTGGGTCATGCAAGCGAGCAAAGCCCCATTCGCACATGTGCAGGATCCAGACAGCACATGTAATCACGCCCTCTACAGGCTGCAGAAAACATGTCCTCAATGGAACCAATCCCTGGCGCCCAAAAGGTTGGGGACCACTATTCTATAGCACAGTATTTTTTTAACTGCGGGATTTTAAGCAGTGTGGACCTGAGTTTCTAGAGTTCTGGGGATTTGGCTGAGGAATTCTGGGAGTTGAAATCCACGCATCTTTAAGTTATCCAGTTTGAAAAACCTCTGCTTTCGTGTATATATGAATTTAGGAATAAAATGGAATGAGTGAAACAGAATGGATTGTAATGAAATATTCCTTTAATTAGGCTTCAGAAGTACGGTATCATGTATAGATACCAATTATCTATATTATTAGGAAGCCATTACATTTCAAGCAGTGCTCTTTCCAAGCAACTAAAAACCATGATATAGCAACCCAGTAATAAATTAATATTACTTAAGTCAGCTTACCTTGAGAGGTTGGTTTCTTCTCATAACAGCCAGCTCAATATTTTTTCCACCAGACTGTACAACCTTAAATTGCGGAAATTCAGAAAAACAATTTCCTTACAAATGTGTTACAATTGAGGATTTTTTTTTGCAATGAAAGAAGATGACGTCTCATTTGAACTGCATGACAAATCTAAGAGTGCTTCAATCTAATAAATTTAGAACACCCAGAAAAAAATGTGTTTCTTCCAAATCAGTCTTAGAACCAGGCAAAGAATTCTGGCTCTTAATTTTACTGAATGAAATTAAAGTATATTAAATTATTAGGGCACTATTTAGCTTGTTAATTATCAAACTAATCAAGTTAGGAACAATTCAAATGTTGACACTTACTTCAAGAAGGGCTTTGATAACAAGTTTAATTGTCAGATCATCAGTTTCAATGGCTTCATCAGTATAATTTTTCTCCAGAAATTCCCGCACGGATTTTGCTCCTCTGCCAATTGCATTAGCCTAGGATAAGAAATATACTTTGCAAAGCTTGGCAAAATGATGAAAAATGTCAATGAAATATTTACATATTTAAATCTTTCATCTGAGCGCCTAAAATGCCTCCAGCTAATAACGATTATCAGACACTATGACCCCAATTAACATAAACAGTCCCCCGACATGCAATATTCTTAGTGAAAGATAGAAGTTATTTTTTCCACAAAGCGACAAAGCCTATTGATGGCTATATTCCAGGTCCAATTACTGCATATCTCACCCTGAAATTAATCTACTCCTCCATATTTTAGGGTCTAGGGAAATCAGACAAAAATATTTTGCAGCAAGACAGGGCCACAATATTATGATGCCTGTCCTATGTAACAGGTTCCCTTAAGACCCCATCACCTCTGTCCTTCTCAAACAGCTAGCTTTTAGGGAAACCCACTGCAAGTGTGGTTTGTGTGGTTCAGTTTGTTATATTGTGCCTTTGCTATTGTACTACAATTCTTTTAATTATTTGATCAGGGGTTGAGTTTTAAAAGTTACTGTATTCCTCTTCTTCATTATCGTTGGCTACCCGGAGTTCCTATGTAAGATGGGCAACCATGTGAATTTTCTATATCTAAACAAATATTTTTAACAAGAATGAGGTAATTCCAATTGTTGACTGGGAAGTTCTATAGTGCTATCAATATCAAAAAGACGACACCCCTACAAATAAGAGAATGCAAATGACAATAGCACTTTAACCATAGTTGCTATAAATTATTTTGTGACATTTTGGCTGTTGTTTCCACATTGATTAGCTTTCATTTTAAAATATATTTACTTATTAATTAAATTTGCCACCTATCTTGCCTTGGGGCTACTTTTCTAGTAGCCCATTAAATCCTAAACAAAGAACTAATTTGCTTAACCATGTTTCACTTTGCAGGGTTCACATATCTTGTTAAACCAAACCAGTCACATTGTGGTTAGTATGATGCACGAACCTAGTCTAACGCTGGTTTCTCCATATAAATAAATGGAGGAAAATACGTGGATTGTGAATAATAGGGAATGTACGATTTTGAATTACAGTACGGCTAAGCAGTTTTTAAAAAGGGAATGATATCTAATCCAGAATTGGAGACAAAGGAATAAGAAATATAAAGTTAGGTTAAACTGTTTAATACTTTCTAATCTTCCATAGATTATGAGAGAGTGAATTAATCTGATGGAAGGATTTACTTATAGGATTTAAGTGCTCCTTCATTTTCATTTTCACAAAATCTAATGGGTCAACTCACCTTCCAAGCATGGTAAGTGCCAGAAGGGTCAGTCTGATACAGCCTCGGAGTTCCATCAAAATCAAACCCTACAATAAGGGCAGAAATACCAAAAGGTCTGCGGCCATTACTCTGGGTATATCGCTGAGGAAGAAAAAAAAAAAGGTGTTATGAAAATAGAACTACGGTAACTGTTGCTAAGTGAGCTTTGCCCCATTTTACAATCTTTCTTGGCACAGTTGTTAAGTGAATCACTGCAGATGAGTTAGTAGCACGGTTGTTAAATGAACTGCTTCCCCATTGACTTTGTCAGAAGATTGTAAAAGGGGATCACACTATCCCAGCACATTGCAAAGGTCATAAATATGAGTCAGTTGCCAAGTGTCTGAATTTTGATCACATGACCATGAGTACGCTACAACAGTTATAAGTGTGAAAAATGGTCATGTCACTTTTTTCAGTGATATAATTTTGAACGGTCACTAAATGAACTATTACGAGTAGAGGACTACCTGTATGTAAAGCTGTAAAAAGAAAATCAAACATAGTATCTAATAACTGTAATAGGAAACATTATTTCCTACTATCTTTCATTACCTTTGGGGGGAAAAAACTAGACTTTATTTTTGGCCAATAAAAGCAGCTATATTATATTCCATTTTTGCCCAAAGTTTGCAACAAAACCAAGCAATGAATATGGCCTTTTAAAAAAATATACATACCTGCTTCAAGCTAGCGATATAACGTGTAATATATTCCACAGTGACTGGATCTTCCACTGTGAGTCTATGGCTTTGACATTCCACTCGGGCTCTATTTATAACTATCCGGGCATCTGCGGTAAGACCTGGAAACAATAGTTCAAAATATTAAAATTTGCCTTTAGCAAAATAGGCAGATAAAAAATATTTCTACTTTAGTAAGCTGGTTAAATGAATATTTTATGCCCATGTTCATCCTATGTTCCAGGGGGAAAAATTCTTTTAATGTGGATATATGTTTTGTGTATTCCCAGTACACTTTCATTATGGTATCTTATGAGCTTCCCTGTGATGATTTTGAATGAAAAAGGACAGAGGAAAGATTAACCTGACATTTTGTGACTGCCATTCCTCAGGTCAGATTGTTAAGAAGATTGTTTAGTTTAGAAAAAGAAATAAAACAAGGGGTGTTGTACCCCTAAATCTGATTGTTAAGTAAAAAAATGAATCAGAGCTATTGAATTCTGCCTTTCAGGGCTGGCTAACCTGATTGATAAAATCAGGAAAACTTAATTTCAATAATCTCTAGAGCACATAGTGTTCTAACAGCAGTTTTTATCCTATTAAATCCACCCCCACCAGGTGGGAGGAGTGGTGGGCAGAGTAAAATAGGGAATTAAACACTGCTACTGAAATATCTGACAGAAGAATGACACTGTCATATTCACATCAAAATAATTACATTTCCATTAATAGAAAAATGACATTTCTGAACCATATATATATATATATTCCTCAACATTCAAAATAGAATACCATTTGCTTATAAACATTTGGATTTCAAAAACTGATTATAACAATTTTAAAGTACTTTTTTTTTTAAAAAAATAAGAGATTTAAAATTGACCTGAAGGATAAAGAAAACAGTCCTTCATTAGGATGTTTTCAGAACACTTGAAGAGAAGGAATCCCCCGATTTTTTTCCCTAGCCCAATATTTTTAATTTGCTGAGATTCTTTGTAAATAATAATGTTAAAAAGTTCCACCGGAAGAGTAATTTCTAGTCTTTTTAGCAAGGAATGCACTGGCTAAGAATTCTTAGATTTATAGTCTCACACATATCTAAAAAAAGTGAAATTGGGAAAAGGCTGTACAGTATTAAGAAAATCCATCCTCAGAGTACCTGCAAAAGCCATGCAGACATTGTCATCAAGGGCACAGATCTTTCGGACAGTTCTCTCATCTTGCAGTTTCGCCACAGATTTTTTCTCCACACCAAGAACTACAATATCTTTTCCTCGCACTCCAACCTGTAATATGAAATGAAGGAGTAAGCACCATATCAAGCATCTTCCCCATATATTAGGGATTTTTAAAAAAAATGTCAATAGCAAAACAAATGCCTTTTTATAATTTCAGACTAGAATCATTCCCTATTCTACCAGGGGAGGTGCCTACTTAGATTGAACCTGGAACTTTAATTATCCTAAACAAAATTTGAATCAAAATAACTTTGTTGCTAAATATTATTTGATATGAAAATTTGCATTTTAACATGTATGACAATATTTCTCATTGGTTTTAACTGGTAACACAAATATATTCAAACAAAACCATTCCTACAACCATTGCACTATCTCCAATAAGCAACCTTATGTGTGCCCACCTTGCTATGGAATTCAATTCTGATCAACCCCAGCCAGCACAACCAATCAAAAAGAATTATAGCAGCCACCTATACCAACTTTATTTTACTTGTTGTATATCATACTTTTCTACTCTAGTGAATATTCAAGACAAATTTTTAAAAAACAATACGAGATCAGGGGGAAAAAGTAAGATGAAGGCGCCTTTCTTCAAAAGACAAATGCCTTTACAGTTTTTTTTAAGATGATGAAAAAATAGGGTCCCAAGGCATCTCTTACATTCTAACGTCTGGGAACAATGTCAAAAATGCCACCTACTACAGGCAAGAAATCTCTCACTGATAATGAGAATATTTTCAAAGAGGCCTCTCCTTTCATTCTAACCTCACAGGAGAGGTTACCGGTACACCGAATCTTTAAATTGTGCCTGGTAAGCAACAAGCATCTGGTACAAAACTTTCTGTACGATCATTCTATGACTCCCATATTGCCCATTGGTTAGCAGCTTACTTGCCCCATTTTTCACCAATTGCAACTTTTAGACACCTTTCAAGGACAATCGCTCATCAAACCTGTTGCAACAGTCAGGAGAATAACTTAACTAAGCAGGATTTGCCAAATCTGATTGATTCAGGAAGGTATAGCCTAGTATACAGCTAGTATACTACCTTTAATGACAGACATATTCCATATTCAGATCTCCCCAGCAAATACAGTGAGATCTGAGGACTGGGCTTGTCCTACCCAGATGCTGAATGTCAATCCTAGTTTATTTTCTTACTAACGAGCAGCATCTCCTTTTTCCTAAATTTCAATTTAATCTTGTATCCCATTCCAGAACTTTAGTGATTTTTCCCTAGCAATTTTTTAACTTGAATTTGATATATATCTTCCAGCATTTTCCTCAAGAGAGACTGAAAAAAGCAATGAACATTCTGAAGTTCCCTTTCATTTTAAAACTGAGTCCAGTACAATTTCTCAAGTAAAGAAAGCAAATGCACAAGGAAAAATATACTGATTTAATCTAAAATGTCCTTCATTCAAAATTCCATCTTCCTATAAGTAAATCCAGACCCATCATATTACTTTGAGGCAACTTGCCTCAATTATTTTTTTTTAATCTTAAAAAACGCAGGCTACAATGAGGCAATGTAGGATTGCATATACACACTTGCTATACCTGTTTGCTCACATCCAGCAATTCAACTGCTTATTTTAGGCACAAATATTTTATTTCACTCAGCCACATTTACCTTTTTATATCGCTTTACTTAGTAAACAAGGTTAACATTCTTTAAAGCCCCTCTTTCTATAGAGGTTTTAATTCTTCCAACTTTTAACCAGAACTATTGTACATTATTCACATTCAATTCAGTAATTCACAGGATCTCTAATATCTTTAACTCCTTGAAAAAGCCTGCCTCCTCAATCTGAAATTCCTGTTCCTTAATTTTTTAACTATAGTCTCTTTTCCGATCTCCTTCAATCAATATTTTCTTTTCTATCAATCCTTTCTATGGATTGTCTAGGCCTGTCCCACCACAAATGAACTATGTTGTACTCATTTCTGGACCTCACATTACTTTCATTATTCCATTAAGAACCTACCCCCTTCTATTTCAGGAATGTTTATAACTAAATAAAAGTAAAATGTTATACATTAAAGCTTAAAACCAGGGTGGTTAAAAATAGATGATTTTTTTAAAATCAAAAAAATTGGATTTTAAAAAATGTAAATTGGATCTTTTTTATTTTTATCAAATTTATTTTAATAAAATGCTGTTAGAATAAAAATCCATCTAAATATAGTTTTCTATTTAAGATACATTAATAATTTAGTTTATTCAGCATGAAATGGAGCTTAGTTATGTAGCATGAGGCTGTATATTCTGCAATATTGGGACTGTTGGTGAGTCAACAGTGGATTAGAGGAGGAACCACTGTGGGACAGAAATGACAAGTTGCTCCTTAAAAATTATGATTTAAATCGATTAATTTTAAATCAAGCTTTTTTACTAGTGATTTAAATCATGATTTAAATCATGATCTAAATTGACTTGATTTAAATCAAATCCACCCTGCTTAAAACATGAGCAAACAGCTTTTTTTTTTTTAAAAAAAGTACAATACTGGAAAAATGAAAAAGTTCTTGCCAGACAGATAAGCTTCACCAAGCGTCTTTGTTTCACTTTCTGTTTCCCTTTAAATTATTTAGCTTTTGGAGAACAATCCTAAATTCTCTGCAGGATAGAAAATGTGACAACAACAAACCTAACTTTATCTAACCCCTTCAATATAAAACAATATCCTCAGAGGATGAACCCAAAGAAGCAAAAGAACTTCTCATATAGCCTCCCCCACTCCTTTTCTCTGACCCCTGCTAAACATCACACCAACCCACAATGGCCTGTATCACAGTTGGTGAAGTCACCCCAAGCTACCTACAACATTAAAGCAAAATCCAGACAATTCATTAGATGCGCACAACAAAGCTTACAAAGCAAAACTCATGGCATTGTATACTGTGGGAACACATGTATATACTACTTGTACTATCCATGGACACCTGTACCCACATCTTATGGGTTTAACACTATCAAAATCACCTCGCCCTTGACCTGCCCCCCCCACCAGATGTATACAGCCAGAAGTCGAGGCCCTCCTTGCTGAGAATTCTGGGAAATCCAAACCCAAAGTGCCTGAAAAGGAGGCCCATCTTGCCTAGCTCCAAAAGAGGAAAAGGCCTCTCTCATTGTTACAGTTCAAGAACGGTCTTGAAGCGCGTCTTTTCACCAAAAACTTTTGGCGTTTTATTTACAAATCTTCTATTATTATTATTGGTTAATCTTTAGTGAGAGTCACAGCCTTTGAGGCTGGTTAATAGCTCAGCAGCTCGAGTCCTAGCCAAGGACCTAGGAACTGTTAAGGTATCGTCGGAGGATGTAACCTGTTCCAAGTACTATTATTATTACTACTACTACTACTACTACTACTACTACAACTACTACTACTACTAACTACTACTACTAAAATGCTCTGCCCATTCCAAGGAGCCTCTAGAATTGGGCTTAAGAAGCAATCTGAAAAATTGGAAAAATGACAATATACTGTCGGAAGAAAATCTGACTAGAAAAAGTTTTGGAATGTGCAGAGATGGATAAATTAACAAAGGAAACAGAATATTACTTAGTGTGGGAGAAATGGTATGAATGGTTGGAGGAGAGAGATAAAAGGAAGGGAAAAATTAAACAACGGTAGAAATAGGAGTTGAAGTATAATTGTTAATATGAGGAAACAAAAATTGTAGAAATGAAAGTGGGCACATGGGTATTGTTATGTATATATGTAAATAAACAAAGATTAGAAGTATATGTATAAATGATATAGTAGAAATAAGAGAGGGAAAAACGTATAATTTTTGTCAGATGCGAAACTGTTGAAACAGAAAAAGTGTTAAAGCTTTCCTTTTGTTTGTTTTTAAAAAAATGTTTAATTAAAAAAAATTTTTTTAAAAAAAGAAGCAATCAGACTGCCATTTGTCCGGAATGGTATATAGGCCGAATCTTTCTCCAGTTTAGAGTAGGGGGTTGGACTAGAAGACCTCCAAGGTCCCTTCCAACTCGCTAGTTCTTGTATCTTGTCAGAGTCGGGCCTTCTAAAGTAGCGCCTTTCCTCAGCAAATCGATGGGAAAGTTCAGGCCAGCGCTCGGATGGGACGGGACGGGCCTGGTCCACGAGAGACAAGACCGAGGCCCGGGGCTGGAGCCGGAGAACATTGGGCCGGTTCTGCCAGTGGGGGGGGGGGGGAGGTTTGCCGGCTGGGAGTGATGGGAGTTGGAGTTCAACGCGTCTCTGCTCCGCGCGACCGAGGCCCTTTCCAGCCCCCCCCACCCCACCCCTCACGATTCCCTCAGGCGCGCCTTTTCTTTACCGCGGTGGAGCCTTTCTTCACGGCTTCCTGGGCATATTCAACCTGAAACAGGTGCCCGTCCGGGGAGAAAACGGTGATGGCCCGGTCGTAACTCATGACAGCGGCGAGACGACAAAAAAAGCGCCGACCGGAGCCGAGAATGAAAGGAAGCAGCAGCCGCGCGAGATCTCCCCCTTCAAAACAGCACCGTCACCTTCCCTCAGCGCGCATGCGCCGGAGCTTACCCGATGCCGCGCGCAGCACGCTATTCACGCAGCACTCCTACGCCGGCTCCTCCGCTTTTATCCCAGGCGCTTACCCGCATTCGTGGGGGAGGGAGGGAAGGAGGAGGAGGAGGAAAGAAGTGGGGCCTTACGTCAAGCACGTACTGGCAGCCGTAAGCGGCTCGACCTATCCCCGTCGCCGACGCTCTTGGCCGGTTGAACGGGATTGGCTAGCTGGCTGAGGCGTAAACCAGCCTGTCAGCCCAATACTTAAAAGAAGCGTATCGGGCTTCCTGGTACTCTAATAGCTTAGGCGAGGTAACGGGGCAAGTCAGCAGCCGGGGAAGCTGGCTGACGCTACGCAGATGACGTACGCGCGCGTCTTCCCCTTCCCCTGCCTTTCCACCTGCCGCTCCCACGCACTTGGCGTAGCGCTGCCCTTCTTTTCTCCCACCCACCCACCCTACTACGCAGTTGGCGCAGCGAGATGCTCTTATTGGCAAAATCAGGGGAAGAGATGCGATTCGCTCGCGACAGGAAAGCCGACAACAGGGATGCACCATGTGCAGGGCGAAGGGGAGGAGGGGAAGGTGGATTTGGAGAAAGGAGGAGGGGGGGAGAGGAGGAGGAGGAGGAGGCAAAGCCGCTCAGGTGGCTCGGCCGCCGCTCTCTCTCTCTCTCTCTCCCTCTCCCTTCGCCCCAGCTCAGTCGGCTGCCTCTCCGCCTTTGCCTTGGCGTTGCAGAAGCGTCCAGGTAAAAAAAAAAAAAAAGGGGGGGGGGAGGCTGCATTGGTGCAATGCCGCAGGCTGGTGGCGAGGCGCAGATTGTACCATTTCCTCGGGCTCCCCTCCTCATGCACTGCGGCGGAGGCTGCCCCCCCCTCTTCTTTTTTCCTTTTTTTTTTTTTTTTTTGCACGACAAATAGCGGCCAGATCATAACAAGATTAGGACAACCCGGCAAAGCCCTGCATGCCTGACCCGTCTGGTCGGAAAAGGCAAGCGGACGCCGCCACCACCACCACCACCACCACCACCCCAAGCCCAACCATGTCGGTTGCCTTTGCTTCTGCACGCCCGAGAGGCAAAGGAGAGGTCACCCAGCAAACTATCCAGAAGGTAACGAGAAATAAAGCCGTATATATCTATCTATATCTATCTATATTTTTAAAAAAAAGAAAACGGGGGAGGGAGGAGGGAGAGGAAGGGGTGTTTTAATAGGGACCACCAGCCGTGGGTATCCCAGGGAGAGGGAGGGGGGAGGCGAGGGGCGTGCATCCAGCTTCCCCGATGCAGTTCAGCAGCCGGAGATGCATCATCTTCCTCCTCTTCCTCCTCCTCCTCCTCCGAGGCTCCAACGGGCGTTTGCAAAGGAAGCTGCAGCAGCTGCAAAGACGGGGCCAAAGGCAGAGAGAACAAAGCCGAAGGGCTCCCGAGCTCGTGCAAAACCCTCTCGAAACCCACCCTTTTTTT